CGCCCCCGCGCCCCCGCCCACCGGAGCCTCGAGTTGACCCGCAGCGCTTTGGCCAGCAACTTGGCGCCCGCGTCCCCCATGGCGTTGCCGCTGATATCCAGCGCTGTCAGGTTAGGATTGGTGCCCAGGGCCCGGAGCAGGACGCTGGCGCCCAGCTTCAGCCGAGACTCAGCCACGGACAGAGACAGCAGAGGCTGGGGTTAAGAGAAAAGCCATTTTGACTGGAGTCGGGGGTCAGCAGGGAGGGCTGGTCACAGGGTCTGAGGGAGCAAGAGAAGGGAAAAACAGAGGCGTCTAACTGCCTGAGGACCTCGCAAGTCCCGTGAACTCACACAGTCGTCGTCTTGCATGAGCTGTACAATCCGGTGCAGGACGTCGTCCAGGGTCTCCCTGTGGGCAGGGGCGGCGGTTGGGGGCGACCGGGGTGGTGGGGTGCTGTCTGGGAGGCTCAGTAGTGGAATGGGGGCTCACTTGCACCGGACGTTGAAGTTCCTTCCAAGCGCCACGTGTTTCAGGGACCGGCTCCTCCCAATGGCCAGCACCAGAGTCACCATATCCGAGCCGAAGCCTGGGGGTGACTCGGGTCACACACAAGGCGAGGCTGCCACGGGTAGGGGGGGGGTTGGGAATCGGGCGAATGACAGGAGGAGGGGTTCCCAGGCGGCCTCACCATTATCCGCCAGATCCAGGGAGCTCACAGCGCCTGCGTCGCACACTAAGTCTTGTATCACCTGGGCGCCTGCCGAGCGCAGCTGGAAGTGGAACGTGGGGCCCACTCAAGCGACGAGTGGGTGGGGGGCAGGCTGCATATGGCCCCCTCTCCCGCCTCCCAGCCCCACTCCCAGCGCGTGTTCACATATTGGGGCCGGAGCTCACCTCACAAGCGCTGAGGTCCAGGTGCAGGTCTCGGAGGTGCGTGTTGAGCGCGAGGCCATCCAAAAGCGCCCTGGCAGGGGGATGGCACAGGGGCTGGTGGGAGTTGGGAAAAGGGATCCCAGGGTGCAAACGAATATAAAGAAGGCGGGGCCAGGATGGGGGGAGGTTGTGGGTGCCACAGAAGCCGGGAAGGTCCTGGAGGCCTGGCCTGGGTGGCGGCCCCGTGCGCGGAGGCGGAGCCGTGGGCAGAGACACCGACCTGAGCGCCACAGGAGGCAGCCTGCAGCCCGCCAGGCCCAGGTGGCGCAGCGTCCCTGCATGGCTGAGGAAGAGCTGCAGTGCGGCTGGCGCGGCCCGGGACTTCCTGGGGAGAGGGTAGGAGCGAGAGAAGTGACTTGGGGGCGCAAGAAGGCGGCTTCCCGCAGCCTCACCCAAGCCCGGGCAGGTCCTCCCTACGTGCGGGAAAAGACGTTCCTCGAAGCGTCGAGGTGGGCGAGCCTGGCGCAGCAGCCGCGGGACAGCGCTGCAAAGAGCTGCAGAAGGAGGGTGTTGGCTACACTCGCGGAGGGCCCATTCCTCCCCGCCCCCCCTGCCCTCCAGTTCATCCTGCCGGGGCTACCCATCCCTGTTGATCATTCAGCCCCCAGCTGAACACCCCCTCACAGTGTCCAGGGCCGTGTCGGTGCCTGCCAGACTCAGAAAGTTCAGAACATTAGGACGGCTCAGGAAGCTATAGAGGCCCTGGTAGGAGGATAGGGTGGGAGGGAGTCAGGAATCTGCCTAGGTGGGGCTTCCAACACCCCACTGCCTGCAGCAACCCCAAGCTCCTAGTTGAAGACAGCCACTTACCCCACTGTCCTCGGAGGCCCCCAGCGCCCCAGGGTTCCCAGAAAGGTCCAGGTGGGTCAGGGCAGAGTGGAAGGCAGTGTTGGTGGCCAGTGCGCGACCCAGAGACCTCATTCCTGGTGGCGGGGCGGGGGAGGTGGCTCAGCAGTCAGGCTGATCTATCTCCCCCTTCAACCTACCTTCCCCTCCACCTACACCATTCTGCCTACCTCGTGGTGTCAACCCTGTCTGTGCTAGGCTGAGTCTCCTCAGGGCTCCTGGACGATGCTCTAGGTGTCTGCTGAGTGCGGCCATGCCTGCGCCATGGGAGCAGCCACATGAGTCTCACCTCCTCCAGCTGCGAGCCCTGGGGTTCCCCAGGCTCCGCCATACCTCTGTCATCCAACAGGTTCCCCGCCAGGCTGAGCTCCCGCAGCCCAGAGTTTGCGTGTCCTGCCAGCACCTGGGCCAGTCGCCGGACAAAGTCACTGGGAACCAGACCCCAGGTGTGAAACTCTGACCCTGGATTCCCAACCCCTCCTCAAGCCAGTAGCCCCCCATCCCAAGCCCTTGGACTTTCCTCCCGATCCCTGCCTGTCCCCCTCACCCCCTGAGGCCACAGGTCTCCAGCACCAGCTCCTCCAGGTGGGACGACTGACTCATCATATGCAGAATCTGCTCTGAGACCTCAAGGCTCTGAGAACCAGAGGGTCATGGGGCTCAGCATCTGCACCCTGGCCCCCATACCCTTGGCTCCTCCCTGCCCCTACGCCCTCACCAGCTTCATGTCCACACAGGAGAGGCACCGGAACCACAGGTTGTAGGACAGGGCAGCCACGCTCAAGGCCAGGTCCCTGGGTTGGGGGAAAAGGCAGGGACAGAGTTCAGGGCTCTCCACTTGGATCCTAGGCCCAGCATCTGAGACCCAGGGACACAAGTCCTAGAATTCTTCCACCTCTCCCATTCCTGGCTGCGCACCGACTACCAAGATGGCTGAAGTCTCCTAGACTGAAATGGCGGCAGCCCTGATGATGGTAGATGGTGTTCACATCCTGAATGAGAAGAAAGAGCTTACAATTCGGCTGGGGCCATAAGCTAGAGAGGGGCTCAGCACACACACAGGACCAGATGTCTCCAGAGCCCCTAGAGAGGGCTCTGCCCTCACCCACTGAATCTCTTCTCGGAAAGGGAAACCATTGTAGTCACACAGAGCCTCGTATGTCTCCAAGAAGCCACCTGGGGAGATGACAGGGGTATGATGGAGGGAAGGAGAAAGATTAGAGATGGAAGAGGAAGATCAGACCCAGATGGGGGGGGGTAGCTGTGACCTGAGGGGCTCTGTTCAGTTTAAGAGCCCTCCAACTCCAGGGATCTGGGGCTGCAGGGGGGTGGGGACAGGTTGAAGGTCTGCATGGCCCTGCCTTGGACCTTACCACAAGGGCTGCAGGGGGCGGTGGACCCTGAGAGGCTGCTTCTCTCCAGTCGAGCCAGCATCGAGGGGGGTGTGGGCCTCCGGAACAGCTTCCTGGGGAGGGGGTAGGGGAGAAGGGACTTCTAGCCCTTGGGACGTGGAGCAGCCCATCTGTGTCCCACTACTGGTCCCTGGCCGTTGCCAGCCTCACCCAAGGGTGGAGCGAGGGAAGACCTTCTTGATGGCCGCAGCCACATGTCGGGCTAGCTGTTCCAATGGAGCCACACCAGGAAACTCCAGGACCAGCTCAGGCAGGGACTCCAGCTCAAAGGTGACCTGGGCAGAGACAGCTGCTGGGCCTTGGCTCCATGTGTGGGGACAGGTGGTGATAGAATGAAGACCAGGTTGCCGGCCCAGGTGGGGCACTAGATGTCTCACCTGAGGGGGTGTCTCCTGCAACCCCATGGCCTGGACCTCCAGGTAGCTGAACGTGCAGTTCACCTAGGGAGCACCTAGATCAGCTGGGACCAACTCTGGGCCCTGACCTCATGAGAGCCCCGTTCTTTATTTATTTTTGAGTTGGAGTCTCACTCCATCACCCAGGCTGGAGTGCCACGGTACACTCATGGCCACCCCAGCATCGACCCGCTGGGCTCTGGCAATTCTTCCGCCTCAGCCTTCCAAGTAGCCAGAACTACAGGCACGCACTACCATGCCCGGCTAATTTTTGATTTATTGTAGAGACGAGGTCTCGCCAAGTTGCCCAGGTGGGTCTTGAACCTTCAGGCTCAGGCAATTCACTCGCCTCGGCCTCCCAAAGTGCTGGGATTACAGGCTGAGCCACGGAGCCCAGTTGGGAGCCCCATTCGTTTGCAGCCTGGATCCCAGAGCCAGACCTGCCTGGACTCCACTCCTGTCTGCTGCCCACAAGGACCAGAAGGACAACCCTGCAGAGGCAGCCCCTTGCCAAGGAGGGTTGGGGGAGTGGTGGGCAGGTCCTAGGACTCACCCTCAGAGGGAGGCAGGTGTGGAGCAGGTAGGCTCTCCATCGTAGCAGTGCCTGGGGAAAGACAGAACCTGATCATCTGGGCAGGACAACGGGGTCTTTCTGCCGGGCCCCAGCCACCTCCTGGGCTCATCATGTCCTCTGCCCACCATACCAGGACGTGACTTCGCTCAGCACCCTCCTGGGGTAACCAGGTTTTCAGCAGCAGCTCCGCCTCCTTGGGCCACAGGAACCTACTGATCTCGCCTGTGGAAGGGCAGCCTGCTGGGTGACTGTGGTCCTCCCACGGAGGCCACTCGTGCTCACAGTCTGTGCCAGGCTAGAGGCCTGGGACTCATCTACGGGCCAGCAAGGAAGGAATGGAATGGATTTGGGGGCGCCGGCCCGCCGGAGGTGCAGAGAGAACCTCCGGCCGAGCCCCCCGGGGCCTGGGTGAGCCTCTGGATTTGGGGCCTCGCTGCTTCCTCCCAGCCAAGCAAGCGGAAAGGGCCAGCGCTTACCTCGCAGTTCACAAGAGATGCCGTCGGGGGTCTGGGCCATGGAGCCCGGCCGGCCTGGCGGCCCAGCGAGCCCCGGCGGGAAACAGTGGCGGACGGGCGCGCACACAGGAAGCCTGGGGCCCCGACCCTAGGGCAGCCACCTGCTCCTCCCGCGGCGGAAGGTGCGCGCCGCTTCCTGCCAGGCCGCCCCTGGCCCAGCCCGGCCCCTCCCCGCCCGGCCTAGCGGCCTGAGAGCTCGCCTTGGTTCGGGGTTGCGGGAGGGCGGCCGGGTCCCAGCTTCCCGCCCGCTTCGTCCCACAGGGGCTTCTCTGCCAGGGTACACAGGGGGGGTGGGGTGTGGCGTGGCAGAGAGGGTCGCGCGTGATCGCGTGCTTCTAGTGGTTCCTTGCTCCGTTTCCACCCCGCCCCGCAGTCCCTATGGCGCACACGAGGGGGCGCTGCCCGCCCGGGGATCCCTGCTGCCCACCCCGGTCCGTCCCCTTCAGCAAGGATGATGCACCAGGCGGTCGGGGTTTGTTCGGCAAGGATCACTTTATCGC